GTCCCCCAGCCGCTCCCTTCGCCGCCTTCGAACCAAATCGGACGCGACCGTTTTACGCAGCGAGGGCGCGTGAACGAAACGGTCCCCTCCCGGGGGCCGCGGCTGGGACCACGGCTGGGCGGGCTGGGCCCGGCTGGGGCGGGACCTTGGGCACTTCCTGCGAGCCTCAACCAGGACGAGAGCGTCGATGTCGTCCAGATGGTGTTGTGGTGGCGTGTGCCTTCACTTCACATGTGTGATAGAAAGAGAGAGGCCCGGCTGCAGATAGGGAGATGATGCACTGTTGCACCGGTGTGTTGCTTGTAGGCATAGGGTAAGGTGCCCAGTGATAAACACTGTACCAGTGATGGGCACTTTTCTCGATTTGCAGCCAAACTCGTCACTTTACGATCTTGGCACGGAACTAATGTTCTAGTAAGACTCCTACCGTGGCATAATAATCGAAACTAACTAACTCCGTTGTTTACATTCCAAGAAAAGGGGGTGTCCATCACTGTGCAGATCCATCTCTTAATTAAGGTGTCGATCATTGGGCATCTTTACCCTGTATGAGATGGCAGGGGGTGGGGGTAGGTTAGCGGGCCATCGTGTTGGAGGTGCACCCCCATATAGTCCAGCCAGCCAAAGGTAACGCCAAGGTTTGCTGTAGCCACCCATAAGAGCCCATGCTACCCCAGGCGTCAACTTTGACTGGCCGGATTATACTTCATTGAGAGAACAAACTCCACTCCCCCTCCGGTTCCGCGGCGCAGCAAATGCAACTGAACAGTTCATTTGTTATTCTTCGGAATATACCTCACTGCCTCACTGCGTTCCTCTCTTCCTCCGCGGTCGGTAACCCATCGCGCGCCCGTGTGCCCGTGGGGGTGTGACAGTACCGGGCGCGCTCCGCATGGCTGCGGCACGGCTCCAAGCGGCTCGGCCCTAATGTGCCACCAGGGCCGAGAAGGCCGAGAAGCTGACCTGCTGGCCGCCAGTCTGCCTCCAATTTCCAGCCCCGCCGCGCCGTATCGCGCGCAAGAAAAGGCTCGCAAGGCTACCGGATGTTGCCTCGTCGCCTCGGAGCGCCATCCTCGGAGCCCGCGGGGGCTGCTGGCCCTGCTGGGCTGGCCCGGCGACGCGGTCAAGTAGATCACCACACCACCGCGGGGACGCCGCCGAGCCACGCCACACCCCGCCCCGCCCCACCCCGCCACGCAGAGCCATTCAAAGCGAGTGACAGGGCGCCACTTTCCTTCGCAGGACCGTTTGGCCGTGAACCACGACTGATTCTCCTGAATGATTCGACAAATTATCCCCCCCCTCCCCCCCAATCAGAGAGTCGGGCGCATTCTTTACTTTCTGGGTGACCGGGGTAACTTAACACAGCGGGTTGAAAATGTTCACGAATATCACCAAAGATTCAAACATGAGCCAATGCGGCAAAAGACGTCCATACTAATGTACAGGGTGCACCTAGGTCGCTGTCGCAGTAACCCGTTAGAACAAATGCGTGTACACTAGCCCGTATCCCGTATACAGACGTGCGGACGGGTTGCCTATTCGCACGTGGCCAGAAGGTGGGACACAAGAGACGACAAGCCAACCAGTGCGCACAAATATAAGCATTTTCTCCATAACCAGGCTTAACGATGACCCTGTAGGATCGACTCAGAAATTATGTCTCGGTAGCCACCCCTCATTATTCAAACTCAAAGAGTCCTTGACGCCAGCTATGGGCACGCGCCGCCGCCCGGGTTCGCACTTTTCACGTCTTTTCACCTCAGCAGTGCGGCAAATCGATTCGTGAGGAAGGGATACTGACGCCAGGGCTTGACCCCAGCGAGGCACACAGGATGTGGCCGCCCCCCCGGAGCGCCTTGTCGCGGGCCCTGCCCAGCCCAGGGCCGCGGTGCCGCGCGGTGCCGCCGTGGAGCAACCGGAGCCCGCCGCGGCCAGAGTGCGGCGAGTGGGCTGGGAACTGAAACGGAATACAATCGTAACACCGAGGCGTCAAGAGGGTCCGATCACGTGTTCGGACCGCAGCGGCTCTCCGGCCCGAGCCTGTGAGCGCCACGCCGCATGTCGCCGGTGGCCGACCGCTGGCCGAGCACGCGGACATATGCTCCGCTTCCCTGCACCTGCTGCCGCTGCATGCCATGCCGCTCTCCGTACTTTCGCGGGCCTCCTCCCCGCGGCTAGTCGCCGGGCCGCCGTGTTTGGGAAGAGAGGCGGCTGTCCGAGGGGGAAGGTCGGTCGAGAGGGATGGAGGTCCACTTCCGCTGCCGCGGGGGTGCTGCGCGAGGCCCGCCTCCGCCCACGCCACCCAGTCCCCGCGGCACGCATCACGCACGTTGCCGGCTGCCGCTTCGTCGCGAAACGTCGCGGGTCCCATTATTTTTGCTCCGAATTTCATGTAATGACGACGCCTTTGTTCGCGCTTGCTTACCGCTTTCCTATTGTGGAGTTGCGCAAGAGTCGCCCCCCCCCCCCATTCCTCCTCCCGGGCCCACGACACGACATGGCACGCCGCGGGACGGTGGTGAGGTGGAGGAGAAGGGATTCAAGAAGATTTTCAGCCCTTTCCGTACTCTCTTTCCCGGCAATGTGGGGTACAGTCATTGTTCCTAAATTCGGACTTGCGCCCTAAATTCGGACATTTTGCCGTATTTCACTATTGTCGCCTCCAAAATCCATTATGCGTTGACAAAATTTAACTTCTATGGGTTTGATGGGAAGGTAAGACCACCAAGTTTCCATTTCCGCCAAAAAAATAAATGTGTGAGTAATATTGCTTCCTCCAGAAATTCCTGAAATTTGTATTTTTAGCCCCCCAAAACAGGCGTTTTTAAATGTGTCTTGCAAGAATTTGGGGCTCCGAACAGTGTAAGCCCGGGTTATTCTGACCACAACATATGTGAAACTTGGTACTTTTATCTACAATATGACACCAAGTTTTTGATTTTTCGTCGCACGGTTTAGTTTTGGGAAGCGTTTTTGCAACGCGCCCTAAATTCGGACATGGGCTTTTACATGCAAAAGGGACAACTGTCCGAATTTAGGGCACATTAAAAGCGATCTTTAAGCAGTTCTGGCGACTAGACTATACCAGATACGAAAATTTGGACGGTAGGGTAAGGTCAAATTTTTTCATGAAGTTTCTATACCCCCCTAAAAATTTTCACTTTTCATAATTTTTCAAAGCTGTCCGAATTTAGGACGCATTGGTTCCTAAATACGGACACGATTCAAACAGCCCTCACCCCTATACCTTTAGCGTGAAAAAATATTTTCGGAGAGTGGTAGGTGCGTCTCGACGTGAGGATTCTAGAATCCCCAGCGATTTTTCATATTTCAAAAATTCTAGATATCACAGGAGGGCGATCGGAGAGCTCCCTGAGAACGCTCCACTTCCGTCCTCCCACTACCCCCCTCACCCTGTTTCAGCCGATTTAGAAGGCGTTTCCGGTTGTTTTCAGGGAGCTCTCCGATCACCCTCCAGGCGTTTTTCCTCAAAAACCGTCCGAATTTAGGGACAATGACTGTACAATTTCACGGATTTCCGGCAGGCCGACGTCCGTCGAACGCGGGCCCTGAGAAAGATCGGACCAACGGGGAGAAGAGGTCCCCTGTCGATTGGATCGTTTCGGGGCAGCCTTGCCTTACGCATGATATCGTAAGAAGACGCCAGCGCACTATTGCCGTATGTAATGAGTCGCAGCGAGTTCGACGGGGCTTCCCTTGGAACACGCGCGCGCTCTAGCGGCTTTTCTTTCAACTGCCTACAGCAGGTTTTCTCCGCAGCAGCAGAAGCCCTTCGGCGCCATATTGAAGTGCAGTAGCAGTTGTTGTGTCTTTTCGGAAATGGATTCCTTGGCAAACTACGGCAGTGACGATGAAATCGACGCCCCAACTTCCTCCAATGTAAAGTGAAAAAATTGTTTCATTTTATGGCATAGTCTTTTCCCGTGGTTCCGCGGAGTTTTAAGAGTTATTGTTGAAAGAGAAAAGGTGGTGTTTCACCTAGGCTACAGTTGCCGTAAATATTTATCTATTCCCGTTGGTCTCCCATTATTTAAAAGACAATACTACCAGGTATTCTATAAAATTAATTAATTTGGTCTATTACATAACGCATTTTCTGTTCGTTATTATTTGGCTGACTTCTTTACTTTCAGTAAGTTAGGTTATGTTGTTACTTAAGCTGTTTACTCAAGATGGATGTGCGTAGTTGCATAGTTTTAAATCACCTCAAAAAACTTCAGTTTCTAACATTTTTATTTTGCTTTGAACGTTTATTTATTCTTTGTTTAGTTTTGATGACTATGATCGTTTTATAATTGATGCTACTGGTTCTAAGATTGCTATTTTTGTCACAGGGAGTGGCTGATATGGACACCACAAGCACTAATACTGGCATGGAAGGCGACAACTATGATGATGTTCAGATGGAGATGAGTGAGGTATGAGCCCAATTTCAGGAAGTAATTTTACTTCAGATTAGTCATATTGATTCTTATGAGATTGTTTTAGAATGCTTACCTAAATTTCAACGCAATGTTGTACTGTGGTAACTAGATTTAAAGTAATATCAAGAAGCTGTCTTGCTCTCCATAATAGTTGCTAGAACATGATATTTTCAAAGCTTTTAAGTGCCTGATTTGCTTGCACTTTATATCTGTGTCAGTTCAATGTGTATACTGCCGTTTCAATTTGTCACAGTTTGAATAGCATGTGTTTCAAATTTTACTGTAGAGATGTTTTACACTGGACTGCATGCCAGTAGTTTCACAGTAGGGTCAGGTCGGGTAATAAATGCACAAAAACAAATCTTTCTCGTTTAGAGCTATACTATGGTGCATGTGAAGTTGTCGCGTGTTCAGAAAGGTGAAGAAATAGTCAAAGCACAATTTGGAAGTGTAATATCGCCAAAAAAGTCTATACTTTAGCGACAATAAGGGAAAAACACTTTGCATTTTTTACCCTCCACGTGGCTAATAAATGCACAGCGGCGGGTAAAAGTTGCACAGTCCTTTTTAGTGCACTTTTAACCCTCCAAAGAGTAAAATATGTACACGAGGCGATGACTGCTATGATTTTGGGCTTCTGTGATTTACTCCGACTTCCTCCAATTTTCTCCGATTTTTGTAGAAATCGGTAAGAATTGGTCGAAATCGGTAAAAATCCGTAAAATTCAGTAAAAATCGGCAAAAATCGGTAAAAATCCTTAAAAATCGGTAAGAATCCGTAA